TGGGTTAGGAGCTAAGTGTCCCTGGGATGGCCTTTATCATAATTGCTGTCCCCATGAATCCTCTAGGATGAGCTGAGGTTATAGAGGCCACCTGTAGAGGAACTTCAAACAGACGTGCTGTTTGAGGCTTTGACCCCCCCCCCCCCCCCCCCCCCCCCCGGGGGTTTCTTGATTCATATGGAAGCTCTCATACACTGCAGGACAAATCAGCACATGAGAAAACTGACTCTTGGCAGAGCAGAGAAATGATGTGCCGAGCCAGAGACAGATGTCAAAGAAAGGCCAGCCTCCTGGAGTCACAGCAAGCAGAGGAAGGGAGAGAAGACTTGGAAGCTTCCTCTCCAAGCTCACTGGCCCAGCCTGTCTACCCTAGGGTACCACTCAGCTAAGACGCACTCCTGGATAATTCTCAACATCCTGCCTATAAAATACAGGAAGGCTCCTGTCCCTGATGGAGATTCTCTGGGCACACTTTCCCCATTATTTGCTTGAGCTTTTTAACGTCCCACAGGTGTAGACACACTGTGGAGCAGTTGCAGACATGGCCCACAATGGAGTGGTATTCTGAGGGTGTGGTAGTTTGAATGTATTTGGTCCTCATAATCTCAGGGAATGGCACTATTAGGAGATGTGGCTTTGTTGGAATGGGTGTGGCCTTGTTGAAGGAAGTGTGTCCCTGTGGGGTGGGCTTTGAGATTTCTTATACTCAGGAATCTGCTCAGTGCCTCAGTCAACTTCCTATTGCCTGCAAGATGTAGCCCTCTCAGGTCCAGCCCATCTGCCTGCATGCCACCATGCATGCTGATAATGGACTGAACCTGAAACTGTAAGTGAGCCACCCTTATAAGAACTGCCTTGGTCAGTCATGCTGTCTCTTCACAGCAATAGAAACCTAACTAAGACAGAGGGGCTCTAGGTTTGTCCTCCTAAGACATTTCATGTTCTTCCTGTCAATAATACTAACAAGAATCAACACAAGCCCAAGAGCTCACAAACCTTTAGAATCTACAGTCCTTTCATAGATCTCATCTAACTCTCACAATCCAACATGATTGGCTATCCTCTCCATTGAAGAACATTTAAATTGAGATGAGGTGGGGGACTGGAGAGATGGCTCAGAGGTTAAGAGCACTGGCTGCCCTTCCAGAGGTCCTGAGTTCAATTCCCAGCAACCACATGGTAACTCACAACTATCTGTAATGAGATCTGGTGCCCTCTTCTGGCATGCAGACCGAACACTGTATACATAATAAGTATTTTTTTAAAACTTCAGATGAGGCTATATCCTGAGTCCCAACAGGGATAGGAAGGCCACTGGCCAGGGCTTCTGTAGCCCTGCTCTCTGGATCCTCATCTCACCTATACTCCCCTTCCACGTCTTCTCTTCCTTCTTCTCTTCCATCAGCTGGCTGCTGGTAAGTGAAGTCTGGCGGGAATGTGTCCCCGTGGCTGCAGCAATGGAAGGGACAGAGCGGGCGGGCCGCAGGCTGGAAGAGTCCGTCTTCCCAGCATCCTTACGGGATCGTTGCTGAAGGACCTTTATCATGGCATCCTTCTCTATGATTTTAGCATGGAGGTTTTTAATACTGTAAAACCAAACCAAAGAAGAAATAAGTATCATTAAAAATGCCATTTAGCTAGAAAACTCTGGAGCACTTGTCTCAGGGACTTTCACAATAATTGTGGTATTCAGGGTCGGGTGGAGCAGAAGCTGTGCCCTCCACAGGAGATCAAAACAGTGGGAGACTGGGGGACTCCAAGGGGCACTGTGAGAATGCCTGTAGCCATCTGCTAGGGACTCCGAGGCTAAGCTCTTGTGGATGGCATTTAGGGGGAAAGAATGGGACACCAGGGGAGCACAGAAGCTCTGGCCTGAGACAAGGCAGGCTGTAACTGCCAGGACATTTGTACAGGGCTAGGTTCTTGGAGGAAAGACAGCTTTCCCCACTAATGACTGACGATGATAAGCAGTAAACTTTGAGCCTATTTCTGCCTCCATTAGGAAGCCCTGTTTTCACATCAGCACATGGAGACTCAGGACTGGGATCCACAGGGGCCTTGGTGACATCACAACTCCTGCTGGAAACTGTGTGACCACCAGAGGAGCGCACACTGGCTGCTTAAAGTTTTAGTGGGAATAGGTCATTCTGGCTCCAAATCTCTGGACCTTGGGGTGGAATTTCTTTCTCATTCTCAGCTCACAGTGTTGTGGAGATTATAGAAACAAATGACTAGAACTAACAGGGACATCAAAAGTCTTCTGGCATTAGAGAGCCCTCGTCTTCACTTGTCTCCCTAAAGAATTGTTGTGTGGAGCCACTTGCTTAAGCGTGAGACACCTCCTCCTCTCCAGGACAAGAGTCTCTGGGGTCCTTCGGCTCATGCCAGTTAGAACAGAGAACAGTGTGTCTGGGTGGAAGTCCCACAGTAGCTGCTGTCTCCACCTGAATCTGGCTGTCCTTACGTGTATTCCATGTCCTGACACTTCCTGTTAGCCTGTACCACCTCCTCTTCTTCCGGCCAGATGTGGGCCTCCAGTGAGCTCTCACCATAGCTGCCATTTCTCGAGTGGTTGATGATGGTGGTGTCCCTAGGAACACAAGACATGCTTTGACTCTCAAGCCTTTTTCCTTGGTCTTCTACACAAACACACTCAGAATAGAGAAAGATTTACTTCGTAACAGATGTGTGCTTCACCTTCTAGAGTGCACCAAAGGCCCTCTACCTCCACTATCCCACCCTGGGGGTCAGTCTCCATAGAGGCCAGAATGGGGCATGCTGCAAACACTTCAAGAGAAGGGAGTAAAGGGACAGTGTCCTGGAAAAGCCCTCTGCCAGACTGTCCTAAAGAATTAAGACATGATCTAAGGGTTGTGCTCACGGACCTTGACTACTGCACTTTTAGCCCTCATCAAAAACCCTGCTGTCGACAGCAGGAAGATTATTACAGAGTCCCCAATGGGCCAAAGTAAGGCAAACAAGTGACTGACCGCAGAGAGCTCATCTCTGAATGGGATACGCCCTACTCCCAGGGATCAAGGAAAGAGGCAGGAAGACAGAAAGAGCTAAAGGACTTGGAGTACTGCTCTGAAATAGAGACTTCTGGATGTCAGGGAAGTGACACCCATGAACTCTCAATAGCTATGGCTGCCTGCACAAGTCCAGCCAGTCAACATTATTTCAGCATGGATGGGGACGAGTCAATGGCTGTGAGAGTCCATTTTCTTTAGGGAAAAACTTCCTGCTGGGCTGTCTATGTCCTAGTGGCCATCCCTATACTATATGTGCATACAGGAAATACTAATTGGTCCTGTGTGTGTGTGTGTGTGTGTGTGTGTGTGTGTGTGTGTGTGTGTGTGTGTGTGTACACAAAGAAGAAGAGGACTTGAATTCAAGAGAGGCATATGGAGAGGGTCCTGGGAGGAGGTGGGGAGGCTGAGGGATGGATAAAATTAAAATGCATTATACTTAAGCCAGACAGTGGTGGTGTATGCCTTTAATTCTAGCACTTGGAAGGCAGAGGTAAGAGTTATACAAAGAAACCCTATCTTGAAAAAAATAAAGCATTCTACTCACATGAAATCATGTTATATAAACAAACAAAAGAGACAATATCTCAGGAAAGCAATATTCAGTAATAAAAATCGCCTGCTTCTTCTATTATCAAGGCTGCTTGCTAAGCTAAGTTGATGTTAGGGGTATGTGGAAAGGTGTCTATAGATTTGGTCTGCTGACACATGGAGGCTATCACTACTACATTTGCTGCTGGCCTTGAACTCACTCTTCACTTTCATCTTAGCTCACTCTGCTAATCACAGCTAAAGTTCTGCCTCTATGTATCATCACCCATGTGTTTTGCATGGGGGTTCGGTGGTTACTCAATACGTAGGCCTTTTACCCTTCCTAATGACAGCTGCCAGTGAGCGAGCAATTGCCTCATGAGGGGAACAGCAGAGAAAAGTACACGTGGTGTCCATTCTTAGTGTGCTCAAAGGTGGTGAAACTAGGATTGGGTGACTGCAGAGCCCTTAACCATGCCCAGTATGCTTCCAAGTTTCTTTTGTCTTTGGGAAGAAGGTCCCAGCAAAGATGCACCGTGATAAAACAAACACACTGAAGGGCTGGGGTGAGAACATGGCCCAGAAAAGTAAACAAGGATAGCTGTGAATGGATCAGAAAAGCAAACCATGAAGAAAGCAGGCAGAACGCTTTGTACCACTACACAGAATTCTAAATACCCCAGGGTTCACACAAACAGCTGCACAGGGCCTAGTAGCTAGAACGATTCCCGTCAAGTTACTTTGAAAAACATTCTTGTGGCACCAGAGGCAAATTTAAAAATTCATGTTTATGTTGCAGAGCAAGCCAGCAGGCATGGTGGTCAAAAAAACAACACCGATAACAAGTGTTCATAAACTCTGAAGGAATACTACTTTGCTTTGAAATTTCTGAAGTTTTAAAACCTTGATCACATGTTAAAACAAAGCAAAACCAAAAGACATCATCTCCAAAATTCTAGCCAATGCTATCAAGATGAATAAAGACCTGTGTAGAGCAACGGCCATTTTCACAAGGCCAGCTGTGTCTACTTGTAAAAGCTCACCCACCTCCCATGTCAGCTAGGCTTGTTGATAGTTCCTGATAGAAAAAGGGGGTGGGGAAGGTCATGAGATTTGCACCCAAATGCCACTCTTCCTAAACCATTGTCTGCAATTCTGCCCTGACCACACATGGCCCAGGGCCTTGGGAAGGGCTGGAGGATATAAGATGAGGCAAACCAGGGGAGGGGGGATTTTTCTGTGCACCCTCTGGGGAAGCCATCATCCAGACTGGGTGAAGATTTTCCAGTGTGGCTGCTTTGGGGTCCCCTAAGCCCTTGCCAGTAATGCCCCTACCTCAGTGTAAGTGAGCCCAATAAACTCATAGGCTCTCCAGGGTACCCTTGGTGGGTGAAAGGTTCAGGCATTATGCTGGCCTGCCCCTGTCACCTGGTGGAACAGGCAGTGCCCTGGTCAGCCCAAGGTTCCATGGGAACTAAGTCTGCACGCAGGTGCAAAGGACCCCTTTAAAAGATAGGCCCCTGCCCATTTACTCTCTCTGTGCGCTTAAAAGATAAGTCTCTGCCCCTTTACGCTCTCTGTTCCTCTGTTCCCGCTCTCTGTCCCCTCTCTCTGTTTCCCCGCTCTGTCACTCTATGGCGACCGGCCGTGGCGGTCAGCCATTTACCCTGTTCCTCTTCTTAGTCTCCCCATTCTTCTGGGCCTTATAATAAACTTATAGTCTTATGTCTCATGTCTCAGCATTTCTCTTTTCTTCTTTTTAAACAAAAGAATAACAGTGGGGTGCTCTGGTTTGCCCATGGAACCTTCTGAGGAGGGGTAGATGCTGCTCACACTTCCCCCAGGGAAAGAATTTGAGTTCCAGACAGTAAAACCAGTTGGTGTATAAAGACCATATTGTTTGTCTAAAAATCGGTACTTACCAATGTAACACACACACCTGACTGAAAAGTCAGGACTTAATGGCTGTAAACAGTCACTTTTGCCCATTATCTGCAGCCAGTCAGCATGTAGATGGGCACTCAAGATTTCAATCTTTCTCAAAGTAGGTTGTGTTGTCCTTTCCCCTTGTATCATCAGGAAAGCCATGGTGGAATGACCAAATCAGTTTTTTGTTTGTTTTTTGTCTTGCTTTTACGGGATTTATTTTGTTTCCATTTGTGTGTGTGTGTGCTCCCTTGCATGTGTGCGCACACACAGACATATGATCATAGGTATCCACAGATGCCAAAAGAGGGCGTAGGTTGCCCTGGAGCTGAAGTTTTGGGCAGGTGGAGTGGAACTCAGTTTCTATCTACCAGAACTTTTGTGTCTTCAAGTAGTATCGCAGCTTTAAAATTTACTATGGGTTGGGCAGATGCCTAAGTGATTGCCATGCAAGCATGACCTGAATTGAAATCCCTAGAACCCATGCTAGTCTCAGGCTTGTAGCACATGTCTGTGATCCCAGCAGGTCCCCACTGGGAGGTAAGAGGCAGAGATGGGAGACTTCCAGAAAGCTCCCAGGCCAGCTACACCAGTGTATTTCATGGAAAAGTGTGGAGAGAGCCGGGCGTTGGTAGCACACACCTTTAATCCCAGTACTTGGGAAGCAGAGGCAGGCAGATCTCTGTGAGTTGGAGGCCAGCCTGGTCTACAGAGCAAGTTCCAGTATAGGCTCCAAAGCTACACAGAGAAACCCTGTCTCGGAAAAAAAAAAAAAAGAGAGAGAGAGAGAAGAAAAGTGTGCAGAGACCCTGTGTCAATCAAGGCAGAAGGTGAACACCAATGCTGTTCTCTGACAGCCCCTCCTACGTGTTCCATGCCATATGTGTGAGCACACTTACATACACACACATACAAGTGTTTAAGAAAAATGGACATGAATTGGGAAAGAGGATATAAGCTAAGAGCTTTTCTATCTTTAATTCTGTCATGGAATTTTTTTGGTTTGGGTGGTGGATATGTATATAAAATATATTTGATACTGAAAGTGTAAAATCTAGTATCAAGCTCCACAGCTGTCCATCCTGAAAACCAATTCTAATTGTACAAAAGTTCACTGAGTTGGATGGAATTTGTGTCTGGTTAATTGTTCTGTGTGATATTTTTATTTGCAAGTATTTTTTTAAATAATAAAGTTTATAAAATTTTTTAAAATGGCAGATCTTGCTCTCTGCAAGGCCTCTCTGGACCTCCTTGGGATCCCTGAAGTTTTTATTTGCTTTTGAGACCAAGTTTAACTTTAGCCCAGGCTGTCCTAGAATTCCTCATCCTTCAGGCCCAGCCTTCTGAATGCTGGGATTCATTGTCAGCTCTGTTCCCAGGCCATTGTGTCTGCAGTCCTGCTAGGATCCGCTCCTCCTTCTCCCGTACGAGTTCCATGAGGGCAGGGGCGTTATATTCTGGTAGACTGGCTGGCTGGCCATTTCCATGTTTCTGCAGAAGTAAAACAACATCATGATGCTCCAAATGGGCCATAAGATGCGTCACACCAACCTGGCCTGTCACTATCTGAAGAGAGATACTGGGTTATCCAATCCTGCATTGTCTACACAACAACATCAGCCATGCCCATGTGCCGTCTCTCCAACATGAACCACCTCAGTTCAGTGGGTCCTAGCCCCATGCCTCCTCTATTTTACCTAATGTCCACCTAATAGATCAGGTACTACTCCAGTTTCACATGCAAGGACTAAGTCCCTGAGAGAACATATTCGTGACTTGATGTCTCTAGCTAATGCATAGCAGACTCGGGTTTCAAATCCAGGTCTAGCTCCATGTCTCCATGTAAACCATGAAGTTAATACATACAAATTCTAGAACAAGGTGTAGCCCTATACTCATGCCTCTTCTTTCAGAATTCCAAGGAGTGACTCCAGACTGCCTCCTCAGACATTAGAAGAGAAAAACAGAAAGGCACAGGGAGTAGAGTGATAGAGGCAGAATCAACTCCTCAACAGAGAGAGACGCCCAAACATTTAAGGTTCTAGCTGCCAGACTGTCACCTGGGAATAAGGCATCAGGACTGGAGGCCTGCGACACGGGGTGACACATGAGAAGGTGGGTGATCTTTAGGGTGGGGCATACCCATTCCCCTCTCAGTAACAGGAAATAAGGTGCATGCTATCTGGACATCTCTGGGACTGAGAAGGGTCACATTTAGGCTTCCTTCTTAACTAATTTTGTGAACCTAGCCCATCTTTCCCTCTTCCTCTCCTCATTCCAGGACGCTGTGATCTGTTTGGGGTAAATGAACTTGAGCGAGAGTAGCAGGAATGTCTTGTGAGCTCACCTGCCCTAGGTAAGTGTTCAACCACTGAGCTACAGCCTGAGCCCTGTGCAGTTTTTCCCAATTGCAGTTGTTAAGGACAGGACAAGCCCAATTGTCTGATGGGAGAGGAGACAAGAGTTCTATCCTGTGGATCTAACGCTGGAGCCCGTGCCCCAAACCAACAAATGATCCTTGGCACCCTGGCCATCTCCTGCCCCCATGCTTCTGGAATCTTCCAGGACACCCCAAAGGAACAAGTGAACTGTGTGGAGGGGTGGAGACTCCACTGTACCCAACATCACTGCTTACGGTGGAACTTCTTTCCATGTGGCAGATTGACACTAAGCCACTCCAAAGTCAGGTGGCCTGTCTTGTCCTTCACTAGGGTGTTGTTGGCTCTGAACTTTGTCACACTATGACCTCAACATGAATCCTAAAGACACCAGACACGAGTCTTGTTGCCACAAAGCATAAAAAGCAAGGTGTTGTATGGGCTGCTTTGGAAGTTGTCCCTAGGCTGTCCATGTGTGTATGAGGTTGAGTATGTGCAGGGATGTGTGTAGGGTGAGCATACGTATGATCACAGCATGTCTGTATGATTCCAGACTCACATTTCTTCGTTATTTTCAATTGAGTGTTGTGGAATATACCTCTACACTGTGTGAATATATGTCACTGTGATTGGTTTAATAAAAAGCTAAATGGCCAATAGCTAGGCATGATTTTCAGGGCAGAGAGAATGCTGGGAAGAAGAAGGGCAGAGCTTCTAGGAGTTGCCAGCAGATGCAGAGGAAGCAGGACATGCAGGAGAGGCAACAAACCATGAGCCACATGGCACCATGTAAATTAATAGACATGGCTGATTTAAGTTACAGAAGCTAGTTAGAAACAAGCCTAAGCTATTGAACCAGTTTTCACAATTAATAAGTTTCCATGGTTTTTTTTTTTTTTTGTGAGCTGGTGGCCCAAAGAAAAATCTGTCTACAGTTGAGTCTGGTCTCACAGCACCTAGAGTACAAGATCCACAGATAGGCCATCTACCACCTAGGGGTGGACAACACATTGACTGGAAAAGAACATTCTTTCTGGCTCTAGTTGAGTTCGCTTTGTCTGCCAGAGATCTTAAGGTACCAGCTTTGCCCTCAGTGTGAAGATGGAGGTCTCAGCAGCTAGCAACAGAGAATGGCTGACAGAGAACAGCCCTGTCCTGTGCCACAGTGAGTCCCCAGTATAAGCACTTGGAGCCCAGAGGAAGACAGGCTTTTCCTTACAAACCAAGCCTGCTATGGAGACAAGATGGGCAGGCCAGGGAGGAATTCCTCACCTTCTAGAACGTTGGCAGCACTGTCCTCTTCAGCCAAGGTCACACTTCCAGAGGGAACTGCATGGACCTGCCACACACTGTCACTAAGCAGACCCAAGGAAATGCTTTCAAGTGTAGCCACAACCACTTGGCCCTATCCAGTAAATAATTCTACAGAGCCTGCCTTGTTTATATCCCAGGAAGCTGCAGAGAGAGTGTCCCCACATTCCTAGAAAGCCAGGTGTCTTAGTTAGGGTTTCAGTTGCTGCACTGAAACACCAGACAAAAAAGCAAGTTGGAGAGGAAAGGGTTTATTTGCCTTACACTTCCACATTGCTCTTCATCATCAAAGGAACCCGGAGGCAAGAGCTGGTACAGAGGCCACGGGTGGGTTCTGTTTAATGGCTTGCTTTCCAAGGCTTGCCCAGTCTGCTTTCTTATAGAACCCAGGAACACCAGCTCAGGGATGGCACCACCCACTATGGGCTGGGTCCTCCCCCATCAAACACTAATTGAGAAAATGCCTTACAGCTGCATCTTGTGGGGGCATTTTCTCAACTGAGGATCCTTTCTCTCTGATGACTCTAGCTTGTGTCAAGTTGACACAAACCAGCCAGTATACCAGGCAAGCTCCAGCACATCTGAGGCAGGAGCTTCCGGCTTGCCTCAATTGGCATTTCCTGCAGGAATTCTCTTTGCTGAGACATGTGTGAACCCTGGGCTGGCATGTTCCTCTCTGTTTCCTCACAGCTGAGCTTCATGACCGCCTTTTAGCAGCAGGGCAGATGCAGGAAGAACTGTAGTTTATGGCCAGTCTCACGACAGGGAGTCCTGAGCTCCTTTCTCTACTGAACTCAGTGATAATGTGACTTCCACTCACCTTTACCTGCAGCTCCTCCAGAGTCACCACTCAGACTTCAGGGAAGCCCCTGACTTTTACCACTAGCCCCATTAGGGGCTCTTCTCTGACCACCGCAGGTGCCCCTAACATGAACTTCTCCCAAGTGTTGGCTCTCCACTGGCTACAGGAAAAAGCCACTCTTCCCATCTGGACAATCGCCTTCCACAGTTGGACATCACCTCATCAGAAGTCACCTCACAGATACTCCCTCCAGAGCTACATCCACTGTCCTGGCCTTGCAACACTTTCAAGGCCCTGTCCTTTACATGCCCACCTCCTCTGCCTCTGCATCTTGTCCTGCACGCCCATCAAATCAACATCCCTATGTAAGGTCACCTAAAGTGCAGTCCCCTCTTTCTAGGCTCAGTTCACAGAGCCCAGTCTCTCTGGAGGCTGTGGAGGTGCACGGAGTCCACAAGGGGCTACTAGGTGAATCTGAAAGCAATTCTGTCTGTTTCGCCAGCCCCTCAGCCAGCCTGTCACTCACCTGCTGTGTCCTCAGAGCATCCAGCTCCCTCTCCAGCCAGGTCCGTAACCTGCGTTCCATCTGCTCTCGCTTCTCACATGCAGACTGCAGCTGGGTCAGGGCCTGCTGCAGCTTCTCAACCTTCTCCACGTAGGCTTGCTTCTCTCGTAACTGAGGGAGACAGTAAAACAGTGCAGGATGGACACCAGTGAGTACTGCAGCTGGGCTGGAAGACAGCTGGAGACCCCAGCTAAACTGCAGGTGCGTGCACTGCCCCACTCTGTCCCTCAGGAGCTTGTGGCAGGTACAGCAAGGTGGCCAGGAGGTGCCTGCTGTGGGCCTTTGGACAGCTCTATACTGTGTCTCATTACTGTTTTTTTTTTTTTTTAAGTTTATTTATTCATTATGTATACAGTGTTCTGCCTGCATATATGCCTGCACACCAGAAGAGGGCACAAGATCTCATTATAGATGGTTGTCAGCCATCTTATGGTTGCTGGGAAATGAACTCAGAACCTCTGGAAGAGCAGTCAGTGCTCTTATTTAACCTCTGAGTCAAGTCTCCAGCCCACCATTACTGGTTTTTAATCATAGCATTGGCAGCCATTGGAAATGAGATCAATAAAAAGGTTTTAGTGTATAGGAATGCTTAGTCTCTAAAGTTAAATGAAAAATCATACCAGAAGTTATTTACATTATCACAACTGTTTCTGTCTACCTATATATAGATCCGTGCAATAAAGCCCAGGAAAGAACCTTGAAATATTTGTTGTATTTATCTGTACGGCGGAAAGGCCATTTCTGCAAGAACAATAAGAAACTTATTACTTTCTAATTTTTCTCTAATAAAAAATTACTTCTAAAATACATAAATATATTAATAAAACAATACAATATGCAATAAACATGATATTATTATTTCTATAATGGAGGAATCATGTATATACGTATGATCTGTATGTATAAACATGCTACGATTATTTCTATAATAGAGGAATTATATATACACACGTATGATCTGTATGTATGCATACACACAATGTGCCCATTAGTATGTTTGCTAGTGAATAGATAAATGTCTCACTTGGGCAGTTTATGGAGTAACTTTCTCCTGTGCAGCTGAATAGCTTCCTACAGGGACAGGAAGGACACGGTGAACACCTGAGCCAGTGACTGAGGAAGTAGAAAGAAATGTCAAATGATTACATAAACATACCATCAGGTATGGATTTAGTGTCATGACCCACAGTGCCAAACCCTAATCCTCAGTACTTGGCGCTCTGTCTGCTCTGGGAGTCTGGCTCACATTCATAAATCCAGATGTTTTCTATCTTCCTAGGAATCAGCTTGGGCCAAGAAATCATGCCAAAACGTTTCCTGGATCCGAAGCTCTGCAAGAAGACAGCAGTGCTGTTTTCCTGTCTCTTTATGAGTGACTCAGCCCTGCACCGAAGCACAATCACACAGGCAGGCTGCAACGGGCCAGGTCTGGCAGCCTGTTGCTGAGGGAGGCCTCTTGCTGTGCCGCAGCTTTGCCATGAGCCATGCCTCTTCTGCTCAACCCTATCAGAGCCACTGGAGTGATACACAGCCCTTCCGATTGTGCCAGGAGGGAACAGCTACAACTGACTTCAGGATAATTTTTTCATGGTGCTTTTGGTTGTTCACATTAGCAGGCTTCCGAGAGTCTGCTAGGCAGGTTTCTGGGCTTCGTGGTCTCGCTGGAGCAAATGCTTTGGCTGTACCACCATACATACTTACTGAGTATGCAGCCAGGGTGAGGTTTGTTTGTCTAGGTGTCTGTTGAGCAGTCTGTCTCCAATGCCTGGGACAGGCCAGCACCCAGGAAGCACTCAATGTGTAATGTTAAGTGAAAGAGTATCATCCCTGAGCATCTGCAAGATCCTTGAACGTGTGGATCCGTCCCTGTATCTGTTTCATCATGAAGGGTGGCAAGGGGTATTTCCCAATGAGGATGATTTATGACAGCCATTCTGCTAGCTGCAATTTTCTGAGCACTACTGCACCAGGCAACGTGCTTTGTAAGCTATATCTCATTTAATCCTCCGGGGACAATAAGAAGCAACATTCTATGCTACCTCCACTTGGGGGATGAGAAAGTTGAAGGCAAACAGGCCAAATGACTTGATTGTAGTCACACAGCTGATATGGTCCATTTTCAGCAGCCTGGCTCTACAGCCCTCTTGTAACAGCCATGGTTAAGCAGTACAGAGTAACTAGTAGGTATAAGACACTGGGATGAATCAAAATCTTTCTAGAGAAACCTGCTGAAGAACAGGCAGTGGGAATGAAAACCAAGACCTAAGCCACTTTAGAGGGGCTTCCTGACCAATTTTAGAGGGGTTTCACTCAGCTGAAAACAAACATATAAAAGTAAGGCCAAGAAAAGATCATGACAGTGCTTAGGAATTAGTGATAGGAGCCATGACAGTGACCAGTCACATCTTCAATGGCCCAAAGATGACTTTCACTTCTATAAGGAATATAAAACCTAAATGAAAGGGCTGACAAGATGACTCAGTAGGTGCTTGCTGTACAAGTATGCCAGGTTGTTACAGGTTGGCTTTCTGTGCCAAGTACCAGGCTAAGCATTGGTGTGCTCTCTGGCTGTCCTCCAGACTTCCTGGCATCTACTTGCCAAGATGATATCTGCTTAGGATGCTCCATCACGGAAGTGCTAGCCACCTGGCTAAGCTAAAGAGTTGGTTTCATCACAATTGCTAAACCAGCATTTCCTGGGTTCAGGGAGTGGGGTCCAGCAGGGCCAACCTAGAAACGGAAGTGGGTCAGCCCAACCCCACCCAACCAATCCTTTGCCTTAGAATTGGGAGCACAAAGACACAACCACAGCAACCCCTTTTGCAGAAGTCCCTTTCTTCTTTCAGGCACCAGTGGCTTCTGCTCCTGCCAATCATTTGCAGCCCTGGACACCTGCCTACCGACAGGGCAGGCTGGGGGCTCTTGAACCATCTTACTACCACCTATCTCTCAGATTCTGCCTGGTTTCATGATGGATAAACCTTTTATTCACTTACATCTGGGTGGTTTATCACAACTCTCCTGTCTCTCCTCTGTCCCCTCCCCATGATGCTCTCACCTCTTCCTCCAGCTTGATCACTCTGGCCTGGGCATTGCTCAAAGCCTGGTCTAGGATCTCAATGTGCCTCCAATGCTCCTCGCTTGCATTCCGCACTGCTGCCAACTCCATTTCCAACTTTTCCTTTTCCTTCAAGAATTCTTTGTCTGGAAGGGAGAGAAAACCAGAACAAGCTCCATCAGAAAGCACTCGGCCTCAGGCTCATTGCCAGGCTACATCTGGCAAGGATTGCAAATAAAAACATGCAAATGGCAGTGAGTTACCATTGCTGCTGCTTGGCAGGAATGGAGGGTGAATGAAATGAGGACTTCCTTAAAGCCACCCTTAACTCTACTTGGGATGTGCTTCCAGTGTTGAGGTACTGGACCACATCTCAGTGGGATGGTACATCCCAAGCATGCACAAGGTCCTAGGTTTGATCCTAGCATAGCAAGAAGGAAGAGGAAAGTACGCAAGAACCACCAGCCCCAAATTCTCCTGGACTCACTTCTCTACAACACCGACTGTAATACTCCCATCCTGCACCTGTGACTTCACCGCATGCTTCCAACCTCCCTTGCTTGCACCTTTCAAGCCTCAGGTCAAAGGGCATGTTTGCAATATTGCAAACCACTTGCAATAATATTAAAATCCCCATTCACAGAACAATAAACCAAGGTCTCTAGAGAGGGGCTGTTTCATTGCAACAGGACAATGAGGGAGCTCTTGCCTCCAGTCTGACCCCCTTCTCCTATGAAGGACCCCAAACAACCCCCTAGATAGACCTGTCAAAAGGGTATAGGAATTTCATATTTGGGAAAACCATTCTTCAGTTCAACAAAAGATGATGACCATATGCCTTTGCAAGCAGGAGCTGTGACCTAGTCACCTTTCTGGATCAACCTTCCAATGAACAGGAAAGACCACAGTCATGGAAAATATGTTTCTTGCTACAAAGCAGTGGGTTTTGTTTTTTGTTTTTTCATTTTAAAATACATTATGTAGTATGCTTCCTACAGTATGAAAATGCTTGAAAGAACTTAACATGTGATCAAGGAGCCAGGCTGGGTGGTGCAGGCCTGTAATCCCAGATACTCAGGAAGCTGAGGCAGGAGGATGACAAGTTCAAGGCCTGACTGGGTAACAGTGACTTCAACTGTAACCTGGGCAACTTAGTGAAACACTGCCTCAAAAGAAAAATTTAAAGAAGTAAAGCCAAGCTCAATTGTGGGGAGTAATCCTGTTTAGAGGTACTTAACATGCTTGGGCGTGGTCAGCAGGTCCTCTAAACAGGATTACTCCCTACAAAGGAGGGCTGGAGGCATGGCTCAAAGGGCTGGAGGTTTGGCTCAGGGGTGGAATACTTGCCTAGAATAGTCATGCCTATTCCATCTCCATTATAAGCGGAAAAAAAAAAAAGAATAAGGGTTGGTTAAAATATTAAATTCCCCAAGAGAACCCCATGCAGCCATTTGTACTAGAAAAACCATCATGACTGATGTGCTTGCTGCTTAGTGTTTCATCAACTTTACACAAAGCTAGGCTCATCTGGGAAGGCGGAATTCATTTGAGAAAATGCCTCCATTAGATTGGCCAGTAAGCAAGTTTGTGGGACATTTGCTTAATTAATGATTGATGTGGGAGGGCCCAGCCCATTGTAGGTAGTGCCATCCCTGAGCAGGTCCCATGTTGTATAAGAAAGCAAACTGAACAATCCAGGGGGAGCAAGGCAGTAAGCAGCACTCCTCCACCGTCTCTGCTTCAGTTCCTGCCTCCATGCTCCTGCCTAGAGTTACAGTCCTGGCTTCCCTGATGATTGTAACCAGTAAGCTAAATAGAACCTTTCTTTCCCTGAGGTACTGTTGGTCATGGTGTTTATTACAGCAACAGAAAGCAAACCATAACTATTGATAAAAGGTAATTAACAAAACAATACACACGATATTCACATTTATAGAACAGAGACATCTAACCCCAACAGCAGCTACAGTTGTTGATTTTCTATATCACACCACCTGAACACTCTTATCAACCTTCCCAGCCACACACCGGAAGCTGCACCAGCGTGCTGCAGTGGGTGCATTCATTCATTGAACATTTCCTCCCATGGGCAATTCCTCATGGATGTAAACGAGCAACTCTGAGCACTGAGAACCAGCACCTGGAGCTGAGAAAGCAACCAAAAGAGTGTTCCTCCAAAGTTACAGAAAGGGTGGGTTTGGATATGGGGCATGATGACAAAAAAAGGCCAAGGATGTACTTATTAGTCCACAAAAAAAAAGTCACCAGGGAAAGTCAGCAGGGCACAGGAGAACCTAGAACACCTAGTGCTGTGGGTAAGGAGAGGCAAGGCCAGGAGCAAAGGCCTGTGTCCGAGGCCCATTGCCAGCTGAGGCAGAGTGGGAACCTGGGATGCCTGGCACCCACGGGGTGTCCTTCTCACTTAAATGAGCTACACTTGCAATAGCAAGTTATGTCAGTGGGGCCAGAGGGCAAATGCTTCAGGGAGACAGGCGGTGCAGCTGGGGACACGGTGTGCTTGCTTCCTAGAAACGAACAGGACCCAGGTTACCAAACCTGCTCCCAGAGCAGAACTAGACTTTGGGGTTTCTTCTGTCCCACTGCAGTGAACAACTACTGTCCTTCCTTCGCTTTCTGTGAGGTTTCCATCTGTATGCACAGAAAACAGGCACAAAAGCCTTAAGCAAGTAGGTCATTGTCCACACTTGCAGAGTCAGCCCAGGTGCCCATCAAAAGTAAATGAACTTTTTTCTTTCTTTCTTTCTTTCTTTCTTTCTTTCTTTCTTTCTTTCCTTCCTTTCTTTCTTTCTTCCTTTCTTTCTATCACTATCTATATCTGTATACACATCTATCTCTATATCTCTATATATCTATCTCTCCCTATCACTATCTCTATATTTGTATCTATTGCTCTATCATCTATCTGTCTATCTATCTATTTATCTACCCATCTGTTCATGGAGTCCACTGTCAAGTACCAAGCATTTTGTTGGTTTTTGTGCTTTGGGTTCTTTGCAGGAAGATGGAGCTGGAGACATGACCACCAAGATAAGCCAATCCCACAAAGATACACTTTGTATGTTTTCTCTCATCTATGGACTTGAGATCAAAGGGGAGCCTGAGAACAGACAGAAGGGACTAGTAGATGAGCAGGAGGTGTGAACAAGGGCAAGAGAGTAACAGAGGGCTTGTGTGTCAATATATATACATAAGAAAATGCATGATGAAACCCATTATTTTACACAATTAGTGCATGCTAATAAAAGTAAATTTCAAAATATCAGGGCTGGAAAGATGGCTCCAAAGGTAAGGAAGCCTGCCACCAAGTTCGATGACCTGAGTTGATTCCTAAGACCCTTACAATGGAATGAGAGAACCAACTCCTACAAGGTGTCCTCTGACCGCTACAAGTGCATGATGCCACACAGCACTGCCACACACAATAAAAATATTGCAAAATGAAAAAAAAATTAAGGGATAAAGTAAAAAGGGAGCTTTGTGTGATGCCTCAAACTGAGAAACTGAGGCAAGAAAATCACCATGAATTCACATGCTGTTACCTCTCTGATACTCCATTCCACCCAGGAAACTAACAAGATGTATTTTTCAGGACCATTTTGAAGACTAAAACAACCATTAAAGATGCTCGTTTGGGGATGTGATGCTTACTAGACTTTTGACTAATTATAACAAAGCTAATAAGTATTCCTGGCAGCTTACCACATCCCAGGCACCAAGCCAGGAGCTTCACAACATAGGCTCCTTATCTTCCCATCAGCATACTGAGAAATGAGAAAACTGCAGCAAATAGCTTAACTATGGGGAATGGTCCAAAGTCTCTACCAGCGCCACAGACACTCTTGCCCCAGGAAAGAGAATTGTATGGAAACTAGAACTTACTTACTTACTTATTTATTTATTTCTTACTACTTATCTCTTAATTTTTTGTTTTTTGAGACAGGGTTTCTCTGTGTATTCCTGGCTGTCCTGGAACCCACTTTATAGACCAGGCTGGCCTTGAATCCAAAGATCTGCCTGCCTCTGCCTCTTAAGTGCTGGGACTAAAGGTGTGTGCCACCACACCTGACTTATGGTCATGTTTTAAAAAGTCCCCCTTGAGGGGAAGAGGGTGAACCAGAGCCAGGCATGAAGATTAGAAGGTGCAGCTTGGGAGAGCCTTAATTTGGGGGAGAAAGCACCCCACGCTGGGGCTGATTAGGGAGAAAGAATGATGTGCTCTCTCCTTATAATTTCTGGAACTCTCCCAGTCATCTATGTAGCTTCCTTTGAACAGGTCCTTTAATTGTTGTCTTTTCCTTTGTAAGTAAGAACACCACCAGTGGCAGATGCATATTTGTTTTTAATGGAAAACACAGGTTTTCCGAACTTAAAATCTTTTGCCTCTCCAGAGTTCTCTGGTTCCACTGAGATATAACTGCGGCTCTCACTGTAATTCATGAACTAAAAATATTTCCAAAAGCCAACTGGAAGGAATGAGATATGAAGTTTCTCTTCCCATATTGTATCTGATTTCTGTTATTGGGCGGCAGGGGTAGGGGGGCAATTTGCTTTCACAAACATTTTGAGAAAACATTTTTTTTAAAGCATCTGAACTCTATTCTGGTATTTTTTACTAGGAATATCTGAAGAGGATGTGTTGTTGTCACTGAATCTGAATGGAAAAATCAATGAATTGAGAGCACAGCATGTGGATTCCACCAGAAGTCACTTAGGGTGATCCGAGTCTCTCACTGTTCGTTCACCACAGTGGGACAAATCACTTCCATCACATCAAGACTTCCAATGCAAGGACTTTGTGTTCACTCCCCAGGATGCATCTCGGGGTAAAATGTGGAAGTGTCAGGGCCCCAGTACTAAGAGTTGACCTTTGGGAAAGGTGGAAGACAAGGAAAAGCAAATCCCAATCCTAGCCTTAACATTGGCAGGGATTCAGCAAAGTACTCAAGTTGCTGTGCATTACAGGCTTTCTCTCTCTCACACCCTTCCTCCCTCCCTTCTTCCCTCCCTCCTTCCTTCCTTCCCTTCCTTCTTTCTTTCCTTCCCTCCTCTCTACTTCCTCTCCTCCCTCCTTTCTTCCTTCTCTCTTTCCTTCCCTCCTCTCTTTCCTTCCTTCTCTTCTTCCTTC